CACCCTGTATATTTGTGAAACACTTCGCTTAGAGTTTGAAGGAAATCTCTCGAGATCGAAGACATTGGTGTAGATGGAATATGCTACATATACATACATTAACGCATTGTAGACGTTGTTGGTCACCTTGGTGAGCTTAGCTTCACGATGGTGAAGAAGCTTTCAGTAGAAAAAAACAAAAAAAGATTGTTGCATTACTTCTTTTCCAACCTAATAGTAAGCCAACAGAGCCACAGTTGCAGAAACAGGAAGGACTGATTCAGAACGAAACATACTTGTACTTGCTGAGTGAAACGTCATTTCCTTCTGCGTCTTTGACAGTGAAATCATATATCGTTTTATGTTGTGACATGGCGTCAGCGTCAGCGTCGTCAGAGCTGAAATATGGTGCTATAAGCTGAGTCCAATCGGCATTGTAAGACTGAATCCAGGGTCAAAATAAAATCCCTGTCACTAGCCCAGAGAGAGCTGTGCACTAGATGGGAACATAAATTTTTTCCTATTAGAAATACATAACATGAATTGGTATATAAGTACAGAAGGAATGGCCCAACATTTCTTGTTTCTGGGCCACCTTAAAAGAACGAGCACTGAGAAGGACTTTCCGCTCATAGCCAAAAAAGGAAAGGTTTGTTTCCTGCGATTTTCCGATCACGTAAAAAAAATTATGGAGAGCATGCAAAATCAGGTTCATGTTTCCAACTGCATGCAGGACCAACCCCCCCCCCCCCCTCCCCCCCCCTAGTCGTCCTTGGCCAAGTGCAACAGTGAGGGGTTTTGGCCGACGGGGACTGCAGAAGGATCGCATAATGGCCACATAAAGCTCTAGGCTACAGGCTCACAGCATTAAACGATTAGAATGAGGACGTTTGCTGTCGCGACAGTAGGTGAGGTATAACTTTCGAGTGCTTCTCCAACTATTAACCACAAACGAGTGCATGGCACCTCAGAGCAGAAGAGTCTGCTGCAGAAGTGTCCATATTTGACTGTTCACGTACACAAATATGCTCTCGAAGAGAACCAATGTCTTCAAACTGACCTTAGTAAAAAGTGACCACTTGCGGTAGATTGACTGCTAAAGGCTTACAAGAAAAGTTTGGAAAAAAAAATATTTCTGTCGGCGACTTCCTGAAAAGGTTTAGTATCTGTTATGAAGCACAAAGCTTGTGCGATGTCATGGTATCATTATTCCCCATAAAATTGAGTTTGAAGAGAGCTGTGAGTGTTTGAGTGTTGAAAACTCGTGTTTTCAGGAGAGTAGCTCCGAAAATTCATGAAAAATGGTCTCGAGATGATTTTTTGAACGGGTTAATTTGGAAACGAGATCAAGTGCTCATTGAAAAACTCCATCCAATTTACTGCAGTGAGTGAAGATAGACGTTGAATCTAAAGAAAGTAACAGATCAAATAAAAAAAAACAGCTCTCTGCCAAAAATCGGTCCGCAAATCCACTGAAATGGCCCAACGGGATGAGTTTTTGATCCCAGCACTTTTGAAATGAGTTCAGGTATTCGTTAGAAAGAATTGCAAAGGTTGAATCCGAAGAAAGTTATAGTCATTGAAAGCCAAAAAACCTGGTTCTGAAAAAAACGGTCCAACGGGGCGATTTTTTGAAGAAAGAGATTTTGCAAAAGCTTGAGCACTTTTTAGAAAGAAAACAGTCTGAGTTTCCAAATTTTCTTACCACTTCTCACACTTTCCTTATTTGAAGAAAATTACAACCTTTCAAATGAAGAAGTGCGCATTTCTGTGAATTCTTAATTCTCTACCCCATAACTAAAAGAGTTTTGAAGATACTGCACAAACGTGGTAGTTTTCTGAAACTAGCAGTCTCGCAGATTACAAATCTACTTAGCGTTTTGAAAAATATTGACATTGAACAGAATTACACTCATTTGAAAATTAGTAGTCTGCCTTGGTCTATCCGCGCCAGGCTGAGGGAAGATTGTGCGCGCCAATGCAAACGCGACGCTACCGCGCTCAATTCGGACATAGGAGTAGACTCCTGTCTGAGATGCGCCATGCGCTCGTTCGCAATTGAAAATCTTCACGAATGTTTGCATTTTGGTATGTGCTCGTGTATCAAAATGGAATTAGGGTCTATTACAGTTAGGGGGCATCATGATGCAGTTCCTCGGCGAGCTAGTGTGAACTTGAACATTTCAGCTTTTCACGCATGGTAAGGGGCTAGAGGCCAATTCTGTTCAGCTACTAATAAAGGCAGTTCATTTTGCAATTTTGTAGTACTTATCAGTAAACTACTAAAGCTCATGTCTGCTACTTGTGTTCGAATTCAAGCTATGTGCCTTGTGTTTTTTTGTAGATTGCACTTATTTCCCGTAATGTTAGCCTTTTCCTTGGCAGTGTACAGTACATAATAAGTGCTGGAGGGTGTCGTTTCGAGACTCTCCAGGAGGGG